TTGTCTTGTCACACAGTTCAGCTATAATAATCTCATACACTATTGCTCCCGCGAGCAGCAGGTCTCCCCGAAGCAGAAGGTCTTCCGTTTTATCAGTGGACAACGCTGGCCGCTAGCATTTCCATGCTCCTTGAAAGCGGCCCGCAACGACTGCACGCGAAATCACCCTCTGCAAGAATGCCACAAAATGGAGATAAATTTCACGGAAAATAGTCGTGTACTGTAAAGCAAGCTGAACACAACGTCTGAAATAAGTATTAATTCCTTTTCTCGGTACTGTTCGATGCTATCCCATCTTTCTGTTTTATCCTGGATTCTACTTCCTTTTCGGCTACATTCATATGCAGTCTCCGTAGAAACATTAATTTTGCAGAAACATGACCCAGAAGAAGAAGGTGGCTATCATTGGAGCTGGAGCATCTGGTCTGCCGTCAATTAGGTAATTGTTCTTCTATACATTTACTATACTCTTCTGCGTTGCTTCTGTATGTAGCTTACGTTCTACCACCTCCTACTGATAGCCAAACTTTCAGTGGCCAAGTGCAAAAAATTTATAATACTACGACCATTGACTTTTTAGTAATCATGGAATATTGCCATAAGGTACGATAAGTTTACAGAAAAGAAAGTATGCCTTCTTGCCTATTATCGAAAGGCAAGTACCGCGAATAAACTGAGGCCATAACCTCACAAATGTGTCAAATGATCGGTAAGCGATTGTGTGAAGGCTGGCGCCGTCAGAATGATTCCGGTAGCGATTGTGGTTGAGGCTGCACTGTCATCGACACTTGGAAAAATGGCAAAGCAAAGAAATCGGAATTCGATTTTTGAGGCCAAGGAGGCCCATGCCGGCCCACATTGCCCGTGTCCTCGTAGTAATGCCCTTGTGCTCCCTCGCTCGTCAATTTCTGGTCTCTCTACGCGCGTTCCAGTGTATGCGTCACCTTCTGCAGCTGACCATCTCTGTCATGTCCAATGATCACGATTAAATGAAAGAAAGGGGGCCATATTGAAGGCACATTTTCCTACTTTTCTTCATTACTCAGGCAACTAACTCAATTCACTCCTGTTTTTGAACTCTGTTAGCACGATGTGCAGTCGCGGGATAAGCCTTTAAGTACTGCAACACACACTTTTGCGAGTGTGTTATTGTCCCTGGTATAGTGGTAGAGTCACCGTGAACCGGGGCGGTTTTGGCGTCGCGGAGGGCACTTGCACTTGCACGTGGCACCTTCCATCGCACGTGTGGAGCCACTGGAATAGGCCATCTTCTTTCTCTTCTCCTAGCGATAGCCGCGCCGTCGGCAAGGGTCCGCTATTCTTGTAGCGTCGGCCATTTGTCGCGACAGTGCACTGCATCTTCTGCCATGGCTTTCACTTCAGTGAGGTCCTTCTTGATGACGTCCCTCCATCTTTTCTTTGGGGCTCCTCGTGGTCGCTTGCCTTCCACCTGCGCATTCACAGGCTTTTCTACACTTGGGTGTCTTCGGGCCTCCCTCAGTACGTGCTGCCATACCATCGCAGTTCGGCTGCCTCGTGCTCAGCTGGATCGGGGCCCGTCCTGGTCGTGACGCCCTGACATCCTCGTTTCTGACTCTGCGAGGTCGTGTCCACCCGCACCGCCTTCTCATCCATCTCAGCATCCTCATTTCAGCTGAATGGAGCTGCCTTTCATGGTTCTTGCAGATGGGCCAGCACTCACTACCGTAGAGCATTGTAGGCCTTACACCGCCCGGTACACCTTGCCCTTGAGTGTTCTCGAGCACCGCCGGTCGGCACAGGATTCCCTCGTGACTCGCCTCCATTCACTCAGGCTTGCTGCGTTGATTCGGGCTTTCACCGCCTGATCCACGCTGCCATCAGCTGATAGGTGGCTCCCCAGGTACTGGAAGTCCTCGACCCTTTCGATGTTCTCGCCGTGACGGTCTACGATGGGTTCGCTACACTCTTCAGAGCTCAGGAACTTGGTTTTCTTCACGTTCAACCGGAGCCCATTCTCAGCGAGCAGATCTTGCCACCGCTGCACCTTGTCCTGGAGTTCTTTCCTGCTGTCCGCTATCAGGGCGATGTCGTCAGCGTAGAGGGATGGTTTTTAGCGGTCCCTCCCACATGAGTTTCTGCATGACATTAGAGCAGGAGCAAGAGAAGCGGCTGAGGGCTGATCCTTGGTGTACCCCAACCGTGATTTTTCACCTCCTTCGCAAGCCGTGCGGGGTGCGTACAGCTGCTTTAGCTCCATCGTACATATCCTTTACTATGGAGACCAGGTGCTCCGGAACGTTACGTTCTCTGAGCGCTTTCCAGAGTACAGGCCTTGGCAGGCGGTCGAATGCCTTCTCAAGGTCCAGGAAGGCTAGGTAGCAGGGTCGCCGCTTCTCTCGGTACTTCTCCATCAGCTGTCTGGCGATGAAGATGGCGTCAGTGGTGGACCTTTCGGGCATGAAGCCGAACTGTTTCCTGCGGAGAGTTAGGACCCAAGTTCCCTAGATAGTGTTGACCAGGCGACTCGTCAGCTTCAGGTATGCGGCGAGTCACTGATCCCGCGGTAGTTGGAGCACTCCGTCGCGTCCCCTTTTTGTTGAAGATGGGAACGATTGTGCTGCTCCTCCACGCATTCGGCATCCTTCCTTCAGCTGTTACGTTGTTTAGGAAGTGCGTGAGCCAACTCACCCCATGCTCTCCAAGGGCCTTCCATGCCTCTATCGGTACCCCGTCTGGACCCACTGCTTTCCCAGCTTTCATTCTCCCTAGCTCCCGGCGAACTTCATCCTTCGTCCAGGGAGTGATGGGACCTGCCGTCGCCTCTATCTGTGGGCTATCCTTGCGAGGGAATTCTTCGTTCAGAAGTCCCTCGAAGTATTCTTCCCACCTCTTCCTGACTTCGGCTGGTTTCCTGAGAATGGCCCCGTTGCTGCTCTTCACAGTCTTTACGACCCTGATGTCCTGAGCTGCGCGATGCCGAGCTTTAGCCAGGCGGAAGACGAACTTGTCCCCTTCTCGGCCTTCCAGCTTGTCGTACAGGGCGTCCATTTCCGTATTCTTGGCCTTAGCAACGGCCGCCTTAGCGAGTCGCTTGCAGCTCTTGTAGGCAGCGTAGTCTTCTGGGCTCCGTGTCTTTTGCCAGCGTTTGTATGCTTCCTTTCTGCTTGACGCAGCCTCTGACTTCCGTTCCAGAACCAGGCTGCCTTGTCTCCTCGGATACCGCCTCGCGTCTCTCCCAGGACTTCTTTTGCGCACTGTAGGATGACCTCTGCTGCGTGGCTCCAGTGTCCGTGGACTGGCCCATGTGGGGAGCCTAGCCTCTAGTATCCTTCGGTGCCGAGGCATACCTTTCTGGCGTCGCGCATTTTCCACCAGCGAATCCTTCGCTCTGTTTTCACTCTCGCCTTCTTGGGGAGGTCTATCGCGATATCTGCCAGGAGAGGTCTGTGCTGAGGGCCCAGGTCTTCCCCAGGCAGTACCTTGACATCCTTGACAGTTTTGAGAGACGATCTTCTGACCAGGACATGGTCGATTTCCGTTTGTCTCCCTCCACTGCTGTAGGTTACCTTCTGAGTCCTCCTTTTCGCGAAGAAGGTGCTACAGATTGCTAAGTCGTGAGCTGTAGCTAGGTCAAGGATCCGTTCTCCTTCAGCATTTCTCGCTCCTATTCCTTGACCTCCGTGCACCCTTTCTAGGCCTCTTCTGTCATTTCCCACGTGGCCATTCAGATCCCCAGCTATGGTGAGGTAATCGTCTTCTGGAACCGATCTTATGGCGTCGTCCAGGATAAGGTAGAACTCATCCTTTTCCGCCTCGGAGCAGCCGGATTGTGGTGCGTACACGGTCAGTACTGTCCAGTACCCATCCATCGTGTCCATTCTCACTCCCATGATCCGGTCACTGATTCTGTTCACGGAAGAGACGCAGTCCTTCAGGGATTCGCTACCGCTATGGCCACGCCATTCCGTTTGGTGTCTGCTCCATTGTAGAAGAGTTTGACACCTTCTCCAATCTCGCGGGCCTTTGCACCTTTCCATCGCGTTTCCTGAAGGCATAGGACTTGGATGTTCCTGCGCCTCATGAGGTCGGCAACCTCGCGAGAGCTTCCGGTAAGCGACCCCACGTTCAGGGTCCCAATTCGAACTAGCTTCTTTGGCCGAGGTCGTTCACCCCTCGGTAGCCCTCGCATACTGACCACAGAACTCGGGCGAGGGTTCTGCGCGCCACTTCCGGGTGACGTCCTAGCTTTTACACTGATACTTTTGCGACTTGTCATGATTGTTGTGACGGGTTTCTCCATCAGCCGGCCTGTCAACCTGGGCCTGACGCTGGTAACGTCTCCATTTTTGCAATTTTTGCAAGGCATGGTTTGTGCCTCGCAGGTATTTATCGGACCTAATTAGCGGTGTGGCGAGCACAGTCCGCCCTTCTTAACCACTCCGGCTATCCTGCCGAGCCATCCTGGATAGCCATGTCAAGGTATATCAGAGCCTACAAAGCTGACAGCTCTACCACGGTCAACATGACAAACTTGCTTCAGCTTCACAAATTTCACCAGAAAGGGACTTGTAAACCGGAACTAGTGACACAGCGAAAGTGCGAAATGCTTCCCCACCGCCCTACTCCCCCCACCCTGCCGAACGCCCCAATGACGTGTGTTAACATGAAGCGTCATGGAATATCAGTGCTCGAAGGCCGGTATGGGAATTCACAATGATCGAGAGACTCCCCTGGCGAAAGATATGTACGAGCCTAAATTAGATAACGAGCCGTAGCCCACTTTCTCGTCACCGAGCTGTTGCCGTGATACCATGCTTCCCTGTTTCTTGCTGGCGACATGCCGCCTTCCTTCCAGAGGCGTAGGGTTCTGCACACTAATACTGATCTAATAATATAGCCTAAGCTTGTAGGCGTTTTTTTCTGATGCCATATGGCAAACGCCGAATAGCGAAAGCCGGAAATAAGCTCCTCCGCTTTTTTAACCTTATACTTGTACCCAATATAGAGGTATATTAGCACTGTATACCGTTTGGAATGGAACTAGTATTACCAGCAGTACTTGTCGACAAGTTTCGATCAAAAACTCTATTTGTTATAATTACAGGCATGCACTACTCTACGATCTTGACGTAACATGCTTCGAGGCTTCGTCACACGTCGGTGGTCTCTGGAGATACCGAGAAGAAGAGACCGAGTGTGGGTTCACATTTGACAGTGGCTGGTATTTCTCCGCAGCCTGTTTGGCTTGGTGGGGGTTACGGTAATTTCGAGCGTTTGTAGATTCATGCGTGATGAAAACAACTGTGATCAATACTTCAAAGGAGATGACAGCCTATTCTGACTTCCCTCCGGAACCAACTGTAGCTAATTTCATGCACAACACTGAAATGCACAGGTGAGCACATCATGCCAAAAAGAGCTCATTTTCTGGCATTTCAAGGGCAAATTTGTGATTTCTGGGCATACGCACTGACTGCGTTATGTTCACACTTCAGGTACCTGGTATCATACGCTGAGCATTTCGACCTCATAAAATATATCAAGTTTAATCACAAAGTCCTGAACATAGAGCGATCCCAAGGCTACGAAAAGAGTGGACAATGGGATGTCACCTATAAAGACCAGTAAGTCAGCTTGTTTTGGTCTCGCTTTGAGGTACTATCAGCCGTGCTTTGTAGGTCGGGATCGAAAAAGTCGGATGTGTTCGACGCAGTGCTTTTGTGCTGTGGACATCATGCCATCCCACGAATGCCAACGCCATGGCCTGGTCAGGAGAGCTTCAAAGGACGCATCATCCATTCTCATAGTTACAGAAGTCACGTAGGTAAAAAGTCATTGAATGCGAATTAGTTTTATTGAACCAAGGAAATACTTTCTGGAAAAGTAGCGTGAGCTCTGAATTGTGTTCTCCGTTGATTTCAAAAGGGCGCAGTTAGGCGACGGGGGGGGGCATTTTGCACTTTCGCTGCTTCACTAGTTCTTTACAAGTCTCACTCTGGTGAAACCTGTGAACTCTGTGAAGCTGGAGCAAGCTCGTCGAGCCACAATGGTAAAACCTGTCAACTCACAATAAGGCCCTCTAGATAGGTCGATAAGTAGTAGCAAAAGTGCAAAATCTCCCCCCCCCCTCCCCCGTTGCCGAACTACCTTCTATAGGTTTAGAGCGATCACGTGGTCCACTCTAACATATATGAGAGACCGTTATGAAAGGATCAACAAAAATGGATGTGTTAATACTTTCACCACAATTCAAATTCTCTGATTTATGTCGGAAACGTTTCGTGTCCAGTGCGGGGGGTTGTTTGCTCGTGATATTACAACGGACCTCGGAACTCAGTAACAACGGTAATGGGACGGTAATGGGCTCTAATGCATTGTACTTTGAGGATATGAGGATAAAGTGGTCGTCATTGTTGGTGTTGGTAACTCCGGAGGTGATGTGGCCGTCGAGCTGAGCAGAATTGCTAAGCAGGTGATGATTTTTGTTAGGGTATGACAAGAATGCTACTAGGGATATGATATCGCAGTAGAGAGGGATTACTGGACTGAAGAAGAGTCGTTTAGGTTTATTTGGTTTCTCGACGAGGCACATGGGTAACAAACCGAATATATGATTACGGCGAACCAGTCGACTTAGCATTAAACAGGTAAATTTACGGCGCATTCGAACATTCATTGACATTGCTCCTGCTTCTCTAGAAATATCCGCGAATCCTAGAAGAGATAATTGCGAGGCGTTGATCCGGCCTCAAAGAACTCTAGAGGTAGTAAAAGACCGAAAAGACAGCGCGCTGGGACAATTCCCGTTGGCTGATTCCCAGTAATGAACCTTATGACTCTACAAGTGACACTGAATGCATCCTCTCTATGATACTTGCCCGGGAGCATTACTTTTGGCTGGAAGGCCGACTTTACAGGCAGTAGTCTGGGCGTAGTTAGTGGAACCCACAGAAGCAATTTTGCGCGCCTTAAAGCCACATAGTAGCTTCATACAGCATTGAGGGTGTATGAGACTATCAGCCCCCTCAAATGTCGATGTGTCGTGGTCCCCCGCCCAAACATGCCCAGGAATGGAGATACAGGGCCGTGAAACACGCTAATTCTTCCATGCTCCGCCCACTGCCTTTTTACGGCGCAGATTCCCGCCGTTCATAACATCCGTCGTAAGCGCGCCTGTCGCGTGCGGCTCCTTGGCACTTTGCCAAGTCCTTTAATTGCGCTCTCTCAATACAAGGAAAACGCAATTTCCTGATGCGGATAACACTGGAAGTGCTGCAAAGTAAGAACAGAAGATGATGACGAGGGTCAGAACTCAAAAGCAACTGTGCCACTTCTGCAACATCCCTCGGAGGCCACGTACTTCCACGAAACATGGAAATAAAAACGGCATACTCGTTAGTTTAATACAAGCAAGACGCAATTTCCTGATGCGAATAAAATTTGAGGTGTTGCTCATGCTTCAAAATCCATGTACAAGGAATGAGAATGACACAGGCTAGAAATGAAGCACCACGATGTAAATGTAAACAAAACAAAAATGAAAAAAATCAAGGAAAGGCAAATTAGATAAACTGGCCTGTAAATTTCTACGATCCGGCGCCAAAGGCATAGAAATACTTAGAACCACCACGATGTGAGTAACGCTTGGGCTTGCTTATATTTTCATAGTTTTGTGAATTGCGCGGCCTGCTATGGATAATAGCAGGATACGAGGCCGACTTGCTCTGTGAGTTTCTGCCACTTGTCATCGTCTATTGGCTCTTATTTTGTAGCACCTCCAATGTTATCCGCATCAGGAAATTGCGTTTTACTCGTATTTGAGAGCGCAATTAAAGGACTTGGCAAAGTGCCAAGGAGCCGCACGCGACACAGGCAGCAGCTTACGACGGCAATGTTAATGATACGCGGAATCTGCGCGCTAAAAAGCATAGTGGGCGGAGCATGGAAGAATCAGCTGTAGTTTCAGCGGCCCAGGGGGGGGGGGGGGGGGGGGGTGGGCGCGGGTTGCGTATCTCCATCCTGACATGTTTCGGCGGCGGGGACGACGTACGACAAATTGACAGTGAGGGTCTGATATGTCTCCATACACCTCTCAATGTGTTGTGAGCGTACTGATGTGTCTTCCAAAGTGCCTCCCTTACCGTCATGCCTTACGCCGCGAACTGGCACCAGCCGTTGCCTGAGTCCGGACGCACTACAGTCCTCATCATTGCGGACCGGTGGGGCGTGGCAGTGCGGCTGCGTTTGGTGCGGTTTGGCAAAATCGTTCTGCACCAGGGTTTGAAGCGGGCAAGTGCATTATGTGATTCTTAACCCTTTGTATTACTTCTTTTCGTATCTACTTTTTGTTGGCATAACGCGGCTTCAAACAAAGATGAGCTGAGACACGGCTTCAACAGTGTCCACTCTTCTGGCGAACGCCGCACCGGATCCCAATGAGAGACTGTACCTTCCCACATACCCTCTTCCATTTAAGTCATCACGGACCGCTCCTCTAAACACCCTTCCTATCTCCAGGAGGGGCATGAACTGCACATAAAAATTCACAGATGTTTTCTTCGGTGGTAGAAAGACTGGGTGACTAGAAACAGCGGAGGTTTCAATATTTCCTCTTTCGTCTCATGTGTTCGATGAAATCACTTCCCACATTGCTTTTCCCATTTTCCCTTGCGCGAGAAACTGCATGAATACACCTATGCATACATGCTTCAAAAGCATTTTCTTTTTCGAAGATACTTAATCATCAGGAACCACCGAGATCTCCGTAAGCGCCCTGCGATTGAAGTGGGGAACCCTTCCCAGTTGCAGAAGTTCCAAATCAGATGACACTTTGTGATGATCTATATTCTCATTCTGTAGGCACGTTTACTTGAAAAGCAAGGTTTCCAGGCGATCCATGGAATTCCTTCGTCTTGCTCCGCAATGGCTCGTAAATACCGTCATCGAGAGAAAGCTAAACCAGCGTTTCGACCATGAGCGTTATGGTTTGAAACCAGAACATCGAGCTTTAAGGTAAGTTTATAAATCTTATACCACACTTCCAAACCAATTCTGAGTACGAATAGCAATGTCCTCTTAGCAGGCTCTTCCTTCTCTAATTTTCACTGCTGAAGTGGTACATGTAAAATATGTACCGCAACTACCAGTCCTTCTATGGTCCATTCGTTTTTGTTTTCAGCGCTCACGTGACGGTGAACGACGAATTGCCGAATCGTATTGCGTGTGGTACCGTGCGAATAAAACCAAATATCCGCGAGTTCAGCGAGCACAGCATAACCTTCGAAGACGGATCTTGCGTGGAAAATGTTGACGAGGTTAGTCACCATATACTGGTCGCCCGTTGTACTGGATAAAAATCCAAGACCATTTTGGCGCTCCAGGAGGAAGTGAGAAGCGTTGGTACAGAGAAAGGGCAACTGACCATTTATGTAGCTTTCATGTAGTGCTGTTGGCTGCAGATGCTGGGGAGTCACGGGACCGAGTCTGCCGTAGCGCCACTCCGTTCGCCGCCGATTGCTGAAGAGCGTGGCCATGCTCTTTTCCAAGAACAAATGTTGAAGAACGGGCTCTCGACGCGCCAAACCCAGCTCATCCCTGACACTTCCACTATCAGCTGTGAACAGTATTGTAGCTTCATGAGTGCGGTCGGGTCCCGATAGGGGGTACAGGCTTCCCAAGGATCATTTCACACGTGTAGTGCAGTTTTTCTGACATGTTCTTGATAATTACAACGGAGCTCACTCATCGAGCATCTCTTCTAACCCATTAATTCACCATGTCACGGACAGAACTGCTGATAATCTTGTACTATATTTCACCTTTTTTCAGGTCATATTTGGTACCGGGTTTCGATTTCATTTTCCGATGGTAGAAAGTGGAAAACTAATACCGGTCCATGACAACGAGGTCGAGCTGTACGAGTTTATGTACCCGCCAGAGACCGCAGATCATAACACGCTCGCCGTTATAGGACTCATTCAGGTAATCTTTCCAAAACCCTCCTGTAGCTCACTTCCCGAGTATATTCAGGAGCATTTCTGAATTATCCTACAAATTAAATGCACCACCTCCGAGTGCTCATAAAATAAAACTCAAGTGGGGCGCAGGAGGAGTTTGAATGTTTTGCACTGGTCCAGGCTGTATCATATCCCTTGTCTCAATTTGTTTCATAAATCCACTTTGAGCCAGACTCAAAAATTTTGAAACCCTTCTCAATCTAGCATTGGAGTGCCCACTCACCGCAAGTGATGTTATGATTCCTGAAAACGATAGGGCATGTGAAAAGGCGTAAATTGGAGCTGAGCCAGAACAGCCTTTACCGCCAGTTGTTAAGGAGAGATAGGCACAATCGTGGGAAGGCCGTCCAAGCTGCCCTCCAATCCACGCCCCGTCACTTGCCCTAACGTTTACAGGGATTATGACCGTATATGAAGTTCGCAGTCCTTCGAGGCACAGGGGTGGAGTTAGCCCATCATCGGCTGCGATTTCACCAATTGATGGCGGTTCGTTTTCGGTTCAGAAATGAAAGAGTCAGCAGTAAAAAACGCAGCTTTTGGGCTCACTCCATGCCTTTTGAGCACCCCGACTGATCGAGACGATATCAGCTGTACTGACTCACTTGAAATTGGTTCTGGAGTGGGCGTGCAAATGAACACAGAGACAGATTTATGCAAGAATCGCACACTGTAGTCGTAGCGGCAAATTCGAGTGAGGGAAAGAGCCTCGAGACGTGATGGCGCGGCAGGTTACGGGGCTGTTGTCAACCAGACGTGCTCTCGCTGCGAGGGTCCAGGGGTATTTTCACGAGGCATCTACCAGTCCAGTAGTTGGAGGGAGAAGGTAAAGGAGGAGGGATCAGAGAAGGAAGGAAGGAAAAGAAGGAAGGAGGAAGAAAAAATGAAAGAGAGGAGAGGCTTCCCGGTTGACAAGTGCCCTGAGACGGGCAAATAACGATTGTCTTGTTCGTCTCCCTGAGTGCTCTCCTGCAAATTTCTTGCACCGGGTTGAGAACGAATAGAGAAGCTCGTTGATATCGTCCTCCAATGGGCAGTATAATGGGCAAACGTCTCCCTGCTTTCACATCAGCACGTAATATACTCCAAAGCTGTCAATTTCAGCCATTGGGGTCGATTATGCCCATATCAGAAATGCAAGCTCGACTTTTCTACGAGAACCTGTTCGGATCTCCCAGGCTTCCATCGGTAGCAGAGGTTTGTGCAGCATTGTTGATCTGTTGAAAATAAAGTGATTGTTCCTATGATGGCGTTCAGATGAAGAAGTCCATCCGAGAGAAGAGAAGTGCAATGCAGGCACGATTTGTAAGAAGTCCAAGGCATACCATTCAGGTAAGTTGTTGAATAACAACACATGCGCCACTGTTGTTGAACGTGTCCTGGAACGCAGATGTAGGAACACACGAGTACCTCACTTGTGCGCCCCTCAAAAACAAGAGGGCGAACATTCGTAATGGAAACTTACGGCTCATAATTTGTATTTCAGGTCGATTACATCCCCTACATGGATGAACTGGCCGGTTTAGTGGGATGCAAGCCGGACATGTTTAAGATTCTCAAATCGGACCCTCTCCTCGCTCTGCAGGTTCGCCCATTCAGCTCCACAATATAACCTAAAACCTACATACATTAAGCGCAAAATTACGCAACAACTGAAATATATTAATTTGCGAAGTCTACGTATTCCTACATCTCTCATCGTAGTAAAAAAAATCAGCCACTGCGCTCATGCTCTCCGTTTTCATTGTAAAATGTTCGCAAGCTTAGTGACCAGGAAGGTTTGCCTTCTACCCTATATTTGCGTTCGCTCGGTTTTTGAAATAATTTTGCCCCCTAACATAGTCATCATCCCAGCAAATAGGTGCACTACGAATGGGGCGTATTGTAGTGCAGTCATAGCAGTCTTTCTCCCCAGTTGCCTGCAGACTCAGTATGGCATCATTGGTGAGAAAAGGCCGCAGTGGCAGCGCTCCAGTCCCCGCCACGCCACACGCCGTGGTGCGTACATACAGTCGTCTTCGGACAGTTGTTTAGCCGACCTAAGGGTCGCGACGCGGGCACGACCGTGGCCATCAGCTGTTTCTAGCCTAATTTAGCAATGTACTTCCTAATTTTTACTTTTTCCGTTTTTTTTCCAAGGTAAGTTGCGGTATTGTCTATATGAAGTATATTAAGACGTGAATTCTTTTTTTTTGTTCTTGTAATGGAGTGTTTTTCGCGACTTTCTCAGGCATTTATTTAATTGTTTGTTTAATCGTTGAAGTGTTCGCAAGGTTAGAGAGAACTCAATAGTTAGAGAGCTCAATCATAATTTACCTTGTGAAGACAAGGAACAGCTAACCTTGAAAAAAGCAGCAAAAACAGTGAAAAGTAGGAGAAAACGACTAAACCAGTCTGAAAACTGAAGTCCGGAACTGATCGATACAAACAGTTCCTGCAAACGCGGTCGCTTCTGCAGCCGCGTCTGCGGCCCTTTGACGACCGCCCTAATCAACTGCCCGGATGACGAGTGTACTTCATTTGAATGTAACGTAAGATTAGCTATTGTGGCACTGTGTAGCTTCGTTGTGTGAAACACATAGGAGAGAGGGAGGTCGTAATTTTCCGCTGGGAGAGTGGAGTCGTACTTTTCCGCTGGGGAGGGGGGGTGTCGTATTGGTCGCTGTTGGGAGAGGGGTTGTAGAAGAATTTTTTCTCGGTGTTGATTTTTCGTGATTGTTCCTGTTTCATGTATACTATTACACCCCAACCCCTCCTCCTCCCCCCGCTCGACGGAAAACTTTGGGTGGAAATTGGTAGGTGCTGGGAAAGGGGGGGGGTCGTCCCCCTACACCATCATTCCTCACATCACGATGCTGTACCCTTTCCCCTGCGCAGAGCATCAAATGTTACAGGTGCTGTTAAGAAAAACCACTTGAAAGAATTTCTCACTTATGTTACATACTGAAAGAGGACCGATTGCATTTGACCAGAGAGCACTTAATCTCTCGGAATACTTTCAGCTCCAATTTGGCCCATGCGTGCCGTACGTGTACCGACTAGAGGGACCGCATCCTTGGCTAGGCGCTCGGAATGCAATAATGAGTGTTGACGAAAGAGTATTCAGGGTGAGTTGCTTTCTGTGATGTCCTTTACAGCTCGATGTGTTGTGTTGTACAGAAGGTCCTCAACCATCACTTCGTTAGCCATTTGACACTCACAATCAAACGTATTGAAGTAATCAACCATCTTGGATGTGTGTAACAACGAAGGATGAAAAATGGATTGTCTATTGCAAAGTGTCTAAAAATTTCAAATCTAACTAGTAAAGTAGTTTTTCGTCAAAAGTGGGTTAACGAATACATTATGAAGATAGCAAACGCTTACCCAACAAAATAGGAAGTACATCACCTAGTGCACCGATTTGTTTTTTTATAAATTCTCTTGTTCTAATCTGCCCTG